CGAGTCAGCAATAGCCGAGCTTATTGCCCCGGGTGCGGCTGAACGAGCTTCGATCGAGTGCCCGAGCGGGTCCACACGAGGCCAATTTTCCTCCGCGCCAGGGGTTGCGGGGCCTTGTCGCGCCCTAAATTGGGCTGTGATTGGACAATGTGGCCTGTCAAATCTGATGACATCACTCTGTTTGCACTCTTTTTCTCTCCATCATCGCTTCACAGTCAAGGCTCAGGAAGCAAATGACCCTCAAATATACTAGAAAAATGCATTTAGAAGTATGAATTCATGGATATACATGATAATGACCACCCATGGCATGCCCACGCCGTGTCGGTGAGGTTAGTGGGGGGTGGGGTCTGGGGGATGTGCCTGCCGGACGATGAACAGACGAAAGATGGGGGTCTGGAACTGGGGATGGCCTGCAGCTATGATACCGCCTGGCTCAATAATTTATTAACTCGCCCTGCTGCTCCTCAAGAATATCCATAGCTTTTTCCGGATGCTTAGCAACTCTTCCTGACATACTCCGTGGACTTCGGACCGATCGCTGGTCTCGTCGTGTGCTGCTGCCCCTCTCCACTCCTTCTTTCTTTGTGTGATTTCCTCTTTTTTTCTTCTTACCTCTTTTTCTTGCTACCCCCCTACATATTCTAGACGTCAATTCGATATGGCATCCCCTATTGCTTCGGCCGCGCTCAGGTCGCGCATCAAGCGCCCTTCGATGCTGAAAAAGCTGTGCCGGCCTGAGGACATGCTACCGCATTTCCCCAATGGCGCCTATATCGGTTGGTCCGGATTTACCGGCGTCGGATACCCTAAGTAAGACTCCGTCCGGAAAAGAAGGGTTGGAATCTAGGCCGATTGCTAACCACCTGCCTACCTGCCTACAGGAAGATGCCTACTTTCCTTGCCGATCACGTCGAGAAGAATAGCCTTCAGGGCCAGCTACGGTACAGCTTGTTTGTTGGTGCCTCATCGGGCGCCGAGACTGAGAACCGCTGGGCTGCGCTAGACATGATCGAGAGGCGGGCTCCCCACCAAGTCGGGAAGAACATTGCCAAGGGCATCAACGAAGGCCGGATTAAGTTCTTCGACAAACATCTGTCCACGTTCCCGGTGGACCTCGTATACGTAGGGACAACCGCAGCTCCTAGCCCCCACCGAGCAGGATAGTAACGGAAAACAGGGCTTCTATACAAAGGACAGGCCAAACAATAAGATCGACGTTGCTGTCGTGGAGGCGACCGAGATCAAGGAAGATGGTAGCATCGTCCCCGGTGCCTCCGTCGGTGCTACGCCCGAGCTTCTCCAGCTCGCCGACAAGATCGTTATTGAAGTCAACACGGCCCTTCCCAACTTTGATGGCCTACATGACATCACCATGACCGATCTTCCCCCGCGCCGGAAACCATACCTAATCACCGACGTTGAAGACCGCATCGGTACCAACTCGATCCCGATCGACCCCGAGAAAGTAGTCGGGATTCTTGAGTCAGACTATCAGGATCAGACCCTCCCCAATTCCCCGGCCGATGAGACGTCGCAGAAGATTGCCGGCCACCTGATCGAGTTCTTTGAGCATGAAGTCAAGCACGGTCGCCTCCCCGCCAACCTTCTACCTCTGCAGTCGGGCATCGGAAACATCGCCAACGCAGTTATAGGCGGCTTGGACAACTCTAACTTTCGCAACCTCAAGGTGTGGACCGAGGTCATCTAGGACACCTTCCTCGATCTGTTCGACTCTGGCCGCCTCGACTTCGCCACAGCCACCTCGGTACGCTTCTCCCCAGCCGGGTTTGAGCGTTTCTACCAGAACTGGGAGGCCTACCACAACAAGCTGCTCCTCCGCTCGCAGCAGGTGTCCAACTCGCCCGAGATCATCCGCCGCCTCGGTGTCATCGGCATGAACACCCCCGTTGAGGTCGACATCTATGCCCACGCCAACTCGACCTGCGTCATGGGCAGCCGCATGCTCAACGGCCTGGGCGGTTCCGCTGATTTCCTTAGGAGCGCGAAGTACAGTATCATGCACACGCCGTCGACGCGCCCTTCCAAGGCGGACCCCCACGGTGTGAGCTGCATCGTGCCCATGTGCACGCACATTGACCAGACCGAGCACGACCTCGACATCATCGTCACCGAGAACGGCCTGGCTGACGTGAGGGGTCTGAGCCCCCGTGAGCGCGCCCGCGTGATCATCGATAAGTGCGCCCATGAAGTGTATAGACCCATCCTCAAGGCCTACTTTGAGAAGGCCGAGAGCGAGTGCCTACGCAAGGGCATGGGACACGAGCCGCACCTGCTCTGGAACGCGTTTGACATGCATCGCGCGCTGAGCGAGCAGGGGAGCATGCAGAAGGTTAAGCTGTGGTAAGGGTCGAGAAAAGGAGATAAATCCTTATCAAGGAAAAGGGAGCAAGGGAATGGGGATCCCTATCGAGGTTTTCTTGTGTACGCATATCAGCGATCTTGGGGGACTATTCGGGGCGTTTATAACGTATATAAAGGTTATTATATACAATCGGATAGTTATGCAACATTCAGGAACCTGTAAAACCCTGCTCAGCGTTCTGTTTATCGTCCTCGGCATAACTTGACCTTCCGGGCTGCTAATTCTGAAGTCCCCGTGGCAAAAAAGCCGCAATCGCAGTCTCTCATCTTCGGTAGCAAAGTTCTGCTCAAGTCAGCTTCATCTTCACGACAACTAGAGTGATTAGAACCCACCCCAAAGTGTTTTCCTAAGTAGACAAAATGTAAACAGATGAGTAGGCCCATCCCCTACTATCCGTCAGCCATTATCAACCAGCGGAGCCTGAATTTTAGCCAAAGAGGGAAGGAAATGTCAAGCGATAATAGTACTGGCAATATGGCATAACTGGACGATGAGCTCCATGATCCAATTGCCCCCGCCGAAAGCTAGAAACACACTCCAATGTAAAACATCAGGAACCTAGGTCTTCTTCACTCCGCCCAAGTGAAACCAAACAATGCTGACGCAACCCGCCAGAAAGCAAAACCCACCCCTCCCACCTAGGCATAAGAGCGATGCTGCTGGTGGGCGCTGTTGACCGTGCTAGCGTGACTGTGTCAGAACGAGTACGTGGGGTGTGCTATCGTGACTCGTGACTAGGCTGATGGTGATGGATTGAGCACCTGAGGAGCGAGGAAAGTGCTATTATGCCCTGAACTCGTTGACTTGTATTGAAGGCTAAACAAGTGAATCATGAGGAAAAAGATAGGGTGGTGTTGTTGAGGCTAGCCCAACTGACCGTCGTTGAGAAACGTGGGAGAGAAGTATAAAGTCACCCCAGTGCCAATGATCACACACACATTGCGCTTCACACCTCCCAGCGCTATATATGCAGGGTCCGAGCTCACACTTCCACCGCCTCCTCCCAATTGAACTAAACACCGGTTTAGCTCAGCGGTATTGGGAGGAGGACCGGTTCGACTCCCCCTCGCGGCCCAAAACCCTGTTTTCAGAGTTTTCGTAGCCACCAACCTTCATTCGACCGGCGAATGGGGCTTGGTGGTGAGTTTTTTGGTTTTGTTTTCTCTCCATTTTCTCTACAAGTGACCTTGTTCTGCGCTTCACTCAAGTGACAGAAGTGGCCGAATTGAAAATGACAGGGATAACTACCTATTCAATTTATATAAATAATTACCTAGTTTATACTACCTTATCTAGGCGAGACCGACATTGCCAGTACCAGTAATCGTTCATGATCTCAATGACGCAAGGTGCGCCTGGAAATAATGTAGGTATAGGATAACTGCTTCGAGGAACTCACTGATACCGACATCCTACTGACCCTATACTACCAGGAAATGGACAGTAGGGCCTTCCTTTCCAATCAAGGAATACCATCGGTTGTAGTTCCACCGATGGCTTAGATATACGGCCGTTCACCGAGGTATGCAGAGACCAAGGTACCCTCCGCCGCGAAAATCGAGGGTTTATTACAATGTCATTAGACCCAAAGACATGTTCCGGCCCTAGCCAAGGTAGTCTCGATGAGGCAGCCATACGACCAGTATCATGACACGTTAGTGCCATATAACAGTTAGGTTTAGTTATAATTGATCGACAAGCAATGTAGAGGGTAGAACCAGGTAGATGATATACGAAGGAGGTAATAGGTTAACAAGATAGGCACCTTGGCTCGTTAATTCCCGATTCGCTGGAAGAACACTTGAGCTTCTTGGCTGGCAAGGATTACCTCCCTATTGAGCATGCCCATAAGATCGTTTCTTCTCAAATTTCAGTTGTTCCTTCGTTGCGCGGATATCACGGATTCGCGCGTACTTCATCGAGCAAAGCCCCTTTGCGTCAAGGCGTCCGTATGCGTCATGCTACATCAACTACCTACTTGGCTACCTCCGGCTGGCTAAATTGTTCATAAGAACACGGCCGAGAAGCTGTTGAATCCTCACCGGGTTACAGTGAGAGCAGCTGAGCGATTGGTTACATCCGGGGCTGTCGCGCATCTTTCCGGGTCAGGACCAGAGACGCAGAGAAATAACGGTCGTGTCGTTGTGGACATCAATATCAGCCTGCAGCGAGGCGGAACCAGGAAATTTCAGGAGCTGCTCGATCCCCGGCGTGGTTCAGCAGACACTTAGCTCGTGAACAAGCTCCCCAAGCCACTCAAGCTTTCTCTCTTGGACTCTTGGCCTCCGCAACCGGGCTCATGATTGGCGCGAGCTTCCTGGTTCTCGGGAACAAGACCGGCCTAGGCTCCACCAAGGGTCATGCGAAACCAGGAACCAGGACCAAAACGGGACAGATTTCAAGGTCCTTCCGTAGGATTGCGACTCTAACTCATCCTCTCCCTCCGCACTCGATCTCGAGGCGGGCCGTCATTGCGGGCGAACGGCGTCCGAATGCCTAAATATATGCATCTTAACGCGCCATGTCGCATCCTGGCAACCTCTCCACCACCCTGCTACATATTGCGGACGATGACGGACCGGGTTCTGGAGCGAGGACGACCCAGCAGCCGGGGTGAAGAGGCCAAGGGGTGGAATGTAAGGGTGGGTGCCGGACGTCCCTTATAAGATTTTGACACCCGTCTTTCTTGTTTCAGTCCAAGGTCTCCCTGTTCAGCCTCTCAGGTCGCTTTCAGTTTCGCCAAGATGAAGTTCTCGGTTCTGTCCAGCATTCTCGCCAACGCCCTGTCGGTCTCGGCAGGCACCATTCTCTGGGATGGCCGCTTCAACGACCTCAGCTCCTCGACCGACCTGAACAACTGGTCGTGGGGGAACCAGGTTGGCCCGTACCGTACGTCAAGCACCGCTTGTGCGCTGCTTGTGCACTGCTTGTCGCCTCTGATGGAGAGGTCAAGGCTAACACGAGGTGCTTAGAGTACTACATCCACGGCTCGTCGTCGGTGACCTCCTACGTCAACTTGTCGCCCGACTACAAGAACCCCGCCGACTCGGGCTCCAAGCAGGGCGCCAAGATCACGCTCGACAACACGGCGTACTGGAACGGCCAGAACATGCGCCGTACCGAGTTGATCCCCCAGACTACGGCCCCCATTGCCCAGGGCAAGGTGTACTACCACTTCTCGCTGATGCGCAAGGACACCAACGCCCCCGCCACCACCCGCGAGCACCAGATCGCCTTCTTCGAGAGCCACTTCACCGAGCTCAAGGCCGGCTGGCTGTCCGGGGCACCCGGCGTCTCGGACACGCTGCTGCGGTGGTGTGTCGGCGGGCAGACTAAGTGGAGCACTGAGTGGGAGGCCAACGTGTGGCACAACGTCGCGTACGAGATCGACTTCAGCGCCAACACGGTCGCCTTCTGGCACTCGACCGGCGGCGACGCCCTGACCCAGAAGATCGCCCCTGTCAGCACCAGCACCAGCAGCAACGGTGCCGACTGGCACGTCGGCGTGCTCGAGCTCCCGCGCTCTGGGTACTCCGACAGCAACGAGGACTACTACTGGTCCGGTGTCTACATTGAGAGCGGCAGCCTGACCACCAATGTTGCCGGCCCTGGTGAGTATTGAACCATGCCGGGTGATATAAAGAAGACAGCCTAGGGCAAGTTGGCTAATCTTGGATTTCAAATAGGCGCTCCCTCGGGCGGCGGCGGCAGCAGCAGCAGCGCTGTTAGCAGCAGCACCAAGGCTCCCGTTTCGTCCTCGACCACTCTCGCCACCTCGACCACCACCACCCCGGCCCCCGCCACCTCGACGACCGCCGGCCCCGTTGGCTGCACCGCCGGGCAGTGGGCGCAATGCGACGGCACTGGCTACAGCGGCTGCAAGGCATGCGCTTCGCCGTACAAGTGCAACTATGTCAACGACTGGTACTCGCAATGCTACTAAGGGACTGGACTCGGAGGGGGTGGTCGAGTTACCCAAGGTCGCTCTGTGAATAATTAGGGGTGTAGGGTCTTCGCTTCTTGTCGATACTTGTTGCATGCTTGGGTTGCACTCAAGCCACCACCAGTAAATACACTCCAGCCTGCGTCATTTCCAAGTTCAAAAGCTGCGTTTCCAAAATCCTTCTGTTGAACACAGTCCTTCTCAAATTTATTCGCTCAAGCGTGCAAAAAGGACGTTCGCTGGTTGGATGATCTGAATGTCGCACCTGTGACTTGATTACATGCATGTAGAGTAGCACCGGAAATCCCCACGGTGCAACGGCGGGCGAGCCCGACCATACATCTTCAAAGATGACCCGGCGATCGCTCCGAATCTCAGGGTTCTTGCTTCTGTGTGTCTGTCAAGAACCACAACCTCGGTCTGCAGAGGTGGGGGAAGGAGTTGGGGAAAGGCAAGAGAGGGAATGAACGCTGATACGCTAAACATCCGAACAGCCGGTCTTGGCAGCCTCTCCTCGTGCTCCGACTCGGTGTAAAACTTTGAAGACTCTCCACTTTTCCCAGCTGCCCCACGGCCCCGGTCTTGGCTGACGCAAGCCCAGACTGCCCCACGACGGTTAGCAGCCAGTCGGCCTTTTCGCTGGGTGCTCGAAAGGGCAGTTACGCACCTGGTTACTCCTCCCTCATGGCAGGGCTCCCCCATGAAAATTCAGCATATTATTCAATGGGAAAAGTTTGGTAGCCCACCATTGGTTCCACGCCAGTTTGTTGATCTTCTCTTTATCGAGTAGAGCCGAGGAGGGCCGTTAGAAACTTGGCAGCTTGGGGGAAGCGGCGGGGAATGGCTTCTCCGTTGCGCTGCCTGCCGCCGCCCCTTCCGAGTTTAAAATGTCTGCGATGAAGACCCTGTCGATCCCATCGAGTCCCTTGTTCCGTTCTTTCGGTACCCTTCTCTCCTCAAATAAAGACTCCCTTCCTCCCCGCGCCCCTGGGATCCTATCTTCGACAACACACTCCTCACCTCCTGATTCTTTTGTCTCTACCTTGGGCAGTCCGATGCAGCCGTCTTCGACAGCCCCCGCCGCTTCCTCACGCACCTGCTCCCCCCCTCTCTGAAACCGGGAACCATATTCCCTTTCCGACCTCTCCCCGAGCTCTCCCCGACCGCTCCTACGATCATCTAGTCCCTCGACCATCATTCCCTTGACCAACGGACGACACGTTCCTGTCTCGATATCCAGAAACCTCACCCCTGAGTGTGGTCTCCCGTCCGCCCCCCAACCAGTATAGCTATCCCGCGACGTCTAGTCGCGAGAGTACGTGCGCGTGCACTGTCATCCCAGCACAATGAGTACAGACAAAAATCTCACCGAGGGTTCGCAGCCTGTTGATGACAGACATGTCGTCGGATATGTCTCGGACTCCATGTCCGAGTCCAGCAAGGAACAGGACTTGCTGGCTCACCATGGCCAGGACCCTGCCCTGAGCAAAAAGATGTCTCTAGTGAACGACGTAGGTCGAGCTTCTCCAAAACTCGGAGGGTGGGCTTTTTGCTAATTCGGGGGATTCAATAGGCTATTAACGAACTTGGCTGGACGCCCTACCATACCAAGCTGTTCTGTCTGAACGGATTCGGGTGAGTACGCCTGCGCTGGCTGGCGAGTTAACCTGGCTAACCTTTCAGATATGCGGTCGACTCCCTCGTCATGCTACTCCAGTCCGTCATTGCCGGCCAGGCCTACCGCGAATTCGGCGAGAAGGGCTATGAGACGGCCATGACCATCGCCCTCTACGCCGGCATGTTCGTCGGCTCCTTGTTCTGGGGCATCGGCGCCGATATCATCGGCCGCAAACATGCCTTCAACTTCTCGCTGATCATCTGCTGCATCGCCACCATCGTTGCCGGCGGCATGCCCAACTGGCCTTCGCTCGGGCTATTCATTTCCCTGATCGGTTTCGGAGCGGGCGGCAACCTGGTCTTGGATACCACTGTCTTCTTGGAGTTTTTGCCGGGCAACAAGCAGTGGGCTATTACCCTGATGGCTCTTTGGTGGGGTGTTGGGCAGGCCATCACCGGGTTTATTGCCTGGGGCTTCTTAGGTGCGTGTGATAGTGATGGGGGAAACCACTTCGGGCACACTAACACGTCATAATAGTCCCCGCCGAATGGAATTGCGCTTCCGTCGAGACCTGCACCCGGGGCAACAACATGGGCTGGAGATACGTCATGTTTACCAGCGGCGCCCTGGTGTTTATCATGTCGGTCCTCCGCCTTACTCTCGTCAAGCTCAAGGAGACGCCCAAGTACCTGCTCAGCATGGGCGAAGACGAAAAAGTCGTAGAGACCTTCCAGTCACTGGCCCTCAAGTACAACCGCCCGTGCGGCCTGACGGTCGAGAAGCTAGAGGCGTGCGGGAAGACGGCCAACCAATCCGAGAGCTTCTCCATCGGCGAGATGACTGGCCACCTCCGCGGTCTGTTCACCACACGCAAGACCACCCTCTCGACACTCATGATTTGGCTGTCCTGGATGATGATTGGAATCGTGTACCCCCTGTTCTATGCCTTCTTGCCGAACTACCTCGCTTCGCGCGGCGCCGGAGGTCGAGGTTACCTCCTTTGAGAAGTGGCGTAACTATGCCCTGACCAACGTGAGCGGCATCTTCGGCCCGGTCCTGGCCGCCTGGATGTGCAACATCCCCGCTCCTCGGCCGCCGGTACACCATGTTGATCGGCGCGCTCCTCACGGCTGCCTTCTTTTTCGCCTACACGGCCGTGCGCACCGCCGACCAGAACGTCGCCTTCTCGTGCACTATCGGCTTCTGCCTCAACATTTATTACGGTGTCCTCTTTGCCTACACCCCCGAGGTGCTCCCTAGCGCTCACCGCGCCACGGGCAACGGCGTTGCCGTCGCTGGTAACCGGATCATGGGAGCTCTGTCGGCCGTCATCGCGACCGAGGCCGACACGTCTACGGCGGCACCTATTTTCATCTGCGGTGCCCTGTTCGCGGGTCTGGGCGTGGTCGCAGCCATGTTCCCATTCGAGCCGTACGGCAGGCGGAGCTCATGAGCGACCCATTCATTGGCTTGCTATCACGAATTTGAGAGAAAGAGGGCGTTGTTGGTGTTTGGGGAAGTTGGATAGACGGGGTGGTGGTGCTCTTGGTATTGGGGGAGGCTGGATACAAGGCGATGGTGTTCCTGGTGTTGGGAAGTTGGATAGACAAGGTGGATGGCGATTTTTGGATTGGCCGGCGTTATAGATGGGTAGGGCTGGAGTTATCGGACCACGGCGATGTTGCTTGTTCTTTTAACCTCTGGATACACCACAGCGCCGATACCCCGAGCGAGGAGCTGTCTCCCAGGTTTGAGCGACAGCCCGATGGCCCTGGACAGCTGTTCTATTAGCTTCTGAGATACCCAGCCAATTGACGGATGCATTTATGACAAGATGTGGCCCGTTTGTGAACCTTTCTCTCGACTTTCGTTGATAAACACATGAAAAAGCCTTGCGATAGATGGTGTGGGTTGTCGGACCTTGTCTCTATGTGTTACCCAATACACTGCCCTTACCCCCACCCCCTTACTCATTCATTATCTCAGGTCCTGGTTCCCCGAGATTATCCCGTTTCGAGCCTCAAGGTGATCAAAACACGTACATCCTGGCGACGACGATGCTGCCGACGAGTCCTACCCCAAGCACGATCAAGTTCAGAAACGCCCTCTCCACCCATCGCTTGTTGGCCTGCTCCTCGCGCGCCTTCCACCCACTGCTGACCGCATTCGCGTGCGGGAATGGGATGTCGGGCACGGGCTTGCCCAGGAATTCGCACAGCGGCTCCCACCCGTCCTCGATGTACCACTCGAGCAAGCGGTCTTTGGGGACCATCCCGCGGACCATGTTGGCGTGTTCTGGGGGGGTCAGCATCTAGGATTGTAGTAAAACTCATATAATCCAACCTCGACGATTCAGGGGGGAGGGGGGTTAAAAGCAACCCAACAACGAAAAAGAAACAAATCAACTCACCCCTCTGCACCCACCGCGCATTCCCCTGAATCGCCCTCTTCAAATCCCCATCCCCCGCCCGAAACAACAATGGCCACAAAAACCGCTCATACACATGCCACGCCCAGAAACACTCCCTATCCAACCAGCTCGCAATCCAAAACCCCCAACTCTCATTCGCATGCACCAGCGTGCTATCCAAACTCCTCTCCCACCCCTCCAAATCCCTCCTCATATTCAACACCACCTTCGCCCCGGGATACGCCGCCACCATCTCCGCGGCGAACACACTCGCCGCCGCATCCGTCACCGCGACGCTATGCCCCAACAGCTCATCAAACTCCTCAGCCGTCACCGCCACCCCTCCCCCCCTCGTCCCCACCCCGCCATACCACTTCTTCCGAGCCAGCCGCACCCACCCGGGCGAGTGGCACTCGCTGTCGTACACGATGTCCCACCCGTGGTAGGTGTGGTCGTACCCCAGGTGGAGGAGCGCCTGCTGCAGCGACTCGGTGCCTGTGCGTGGGAGCCCGACGCAGAGAACTTGCATGGGGCGGGTGCGTTTGCGGGGCGGGGGTGGGGAGGGGAGGGCGTAGAGACGCTCGACGAGGGTCCAGAGGGGGTGGTGCAGGGAGAGGGAGAGGTAGCGGTTGGGGTTGAGGGTGGTGAGGAGGGTGGTGAGGGGGGAGGGCGGTGGTGCGGTGGTTGATGGCGTGGGGGAGTTGGTGGTGGTAGATTTGTTGGTGCCCATGGTTGTGGTGGTGGTTTGCTGGTTTGTGGGTGGTTGTTGGGTGTGTGGTGGTGGTGGTGTTACACTGGGGCGGGTTGGTCCGCGGTGGCGGGTTATGGCATCAGAGAATGCGGGGATGAGGTGACGGTGAGGCTCGAGGGGGTTCATGGTTTATATAGGTCATTGTGCATGTGTCTGTACAACGGCGGACCGCATCCTTCAACGTCAATATACCCACAATTTACATCCTTCGGGACCCTTATACCGTTAGATCGGCGCTACGCGTTTATCAGCAGGGACAGTTGGCCTGTAACATGCTCAGCGCTCGCTGGGTTCGTCTGAGAGCAGCACCGAGGTAGGTACCGATCAGCAGTTGCGCTGATCGTACGGGGTCCACTGGCCGACAATGTCCGGTTCCGCGCAAGCATTCATAATAACGAAACGGTGAGGGGCGGCGGCATTAATATGTGGGATAGCGAATGGTCTCATGACGGCCACGCGTCCGAAGGTTATCTAGTGGAGATATATTGCGGCTCAATAATGGTTCAGGGAGGAAGCTTAGCCGGTCATAACTTGCCCATGCTGCGGTCGCAACCAGAAGTCGATCCCGGGACTCTGCCGAACCAAATGCCATCTGGCGTCCAATTCCCCATGGGGGAAGCAATATACTCGGGAGATAGCCCGGCATTTACATTTATACTCGCACCTTCGGGATGTGGCCACCACCCAAATGCAATGATGTCCAAGTCGTATATTGTAGTGCTTTACATGGCGCAAACATAGTAATATGCTCGCAGATTGCTGTTTTCCGGATGTCGCCGTCGGGTGCTTCTTACCAGGGATTGACGTCGCCGTCAAGAGATTGAATAACCTCTCGTTTCCCGGCCATGCAAATTGGCAGCTTGAAATACACTCCGGCTGCCCGGTTGGCTCACTGACTGATAACCGCCACCAACTCCAATATCATGATGCTGCAACACCAAGCCTAACACACTTCCCCCTCCCATCACTTCCCCAACCCCTCCACATACTCCCTCACCAACACATCCCCGCTCTCATCCACCACCAGCCCCAGCCTCAACGACTCCGTGATATCAAAATCCTCCGCCCACCCCCTCAAAATCCTCTCCAACCCCTCATCCTCCACCTCCCTAATCAGCCCCAACCTCTCCTCCCCCCCATACTTGGCTAACGCATCCCTCAACTCCTGCACACTCACCGGAATCCCCGGAAACAGCACCTGCCGCACATGCCCGGGCAACACCCCGCTCCCCCAGCCCAACACGCGCACCAAATTCTCCACCACCGTCCTCGGCGACGCCAAAAACGCGCGAAACCCACGATCCCTCAACGGCACCACACACTCGACGCCCGCCATCGGCTCGCGAATAATGCCGCTCAAAAAGCTCGACGCCGCGCCCGTCGGCTTGCCCGGACGCACCGACACGGTCGGCAGCCGCGCAACGACCACGTCCAGCGCCCCGCGCCGGTGCGCCTCGTTGAGCAGCACTTCGCTGACGAGTTTGTGCGCGCCGTACGTGCTTTGCGGGGTGGGCGCCCAGTGGGGGGGCACTTTGTGGGTTGGGGCGGTTGGGGTGGGGGAGGGGAAGGGCGGGCCGAAGACGGCGAGGGAGCTGGCGTAGATGACGCGCACGGGGTTGTTGTTGTTGCTGCTGTTGTTCTTCTTGTTGTTGTCGTCGTTGCTGGGGGGGTGGTGGGTTTGCAGAGCGGTGGTCAGCGCGCGGATGGAGTCGACGTTGACGGCGAGGGAGAGGGTTGGGTTGGCTTCGCTGGTGGCGGACATGATGCCGTGGAAGAGGAAGACGGCGTGGAGGGGTTGGATGGCCGGGTGAGTTAGGAGGGTGGTGATGAAGGCGGGGGAGGTGATGTCGCCTTTGAGGGTGGTTGCGTGGTGCGGGTACGGGACGTTGGGCGGGATGATGGGGTCGGCGAGGTCGGTGAGGAGGAGGCGGTAGTGTGGGATGGAGAGGAGGCGGGCTGCGAGGAGAGGCCCGATGAGTCCGCCTGCGCCAGTGATGAGGATGTTTTTGGTGGGCAATTCATCTTGGTTGTCGATCGGGGCGGCCATCTTGAAAGGGTAGGGCTTAGAACGGTAAGAACGTAGAACCCTTGAGGTCCATACGGATGGTGAAGGTTGGGTTCGATGGAGAGTTGGAACGTTTCTGCGCAAATATGCGCGCCCAATGGTATTGGGCGATGCTGTGGATGATTTGTTGCTGATGATCAAACCCCTCCCTGGGTTGGCTCGTCTTGAGTTCTCAACCCCAACCCTGGTCTAGTTTCGCAGCTCTAGGACTGTCGACGGTTTCCGTACCTAGGTGAGAGGTAGTTAGGTGCCCGTTTCCATACTTTATTTAACTAGTTAGGTATTTATGGTACTTACGTAACTAATAGGTCTACCTAGATTAAGGCCAAAAAAGGTACTAGAAAGACGAGAACCCCGATTGGTTGGGTTCTGGGGTGCGAATGTCGAAGCGGTGCTTGTTGGCGGTTTTCAGTTTTACCTTGGAGCCTCCTTTCCTCATCGTGTACTTGCCTACCTAAGGTACCGAGGTATTCATCGCCGATAGTTGACCCTGTGACACACCCAGTAGTCTAATTGTTGGAACCAGCGGTATTTCAAGGCATTGAGCAGACCACTGAAGGCTTGGGTCAAAAGGAACGGAGTAGAGGGTGTTGATGGCTGTCAATTGCAGTGCTTGTTGTTCGTTGTTCTTGTTCAACTTGTTGAACTGGTCTAATTTTCTGGCGACCAGTAATTTGGTTGGCCCCCGGGTCACGTGACCCAGGTCCTAGGCGCAAGCCGCCATGGGCTTGTTCTGACAGTAAGGAACGAGCATTCGAAAAATAAGGGAGAGGTTCATCGGCGAGAGGCGATCGAGACCAGGAAGCTTTTGTGAAAGTCGGGCGGCACTGCCGAGGGACTGCAAGATGGCGGCGGAGGCGCAGCCCCAAATCGTGGTCGAGGTGGCCGACCAACCACCTTCGCCGAGACGACCGAGCCGCGCGTTGAAACCGAGCGCGAAAGCTCGCGAAGCCATGCAATCGCTCGAGGACGTGGCTACCACGTCGAGGAGAGCGGCGAGCGAGACCACGCGGGCGGTTACGACGCGAGGAGCACGCGCGTCTGGGATTTTATATGGAGCCAACAGCCGGATCGAGACGGGGAAGTCAGGTATACAGATGCTCCTGGAGGCGATCAACGAACAACGAGACGAAATGTACCGAATGATTACCGAGCAGCGAAACACGATTGGCGAACTACGTGAGGTGATTTGCAAGCAGCACGACGCGATTCAAGAACTACATCGCCAACTTGCAGACACCAGGACCCAGCTTTCTGAAGAACTGAGACAAGCGCGGGATCAGATTGATACCCTTCAACGCCACCCGGTAGCCATGGCTTCGTCCCAACCAAGCGCAAGAGGGTCATACGCCGAAGTCGCTCGCACCCCACCATCAAGCCAGCCAAGCGGTGTGCGCACCCTCTCCTCGCGAAACACGACGCCTTCATCCTTTACCGACACGTTGTTCTGTACGATCGATACATCTAGGGTGGAGGAGAAAGAGAAGGGAAACGTCCAGGTGGCGGACATTAGAAAGGCAATCGAGACAGAGGCCAGGGCACAGGAAAGCATGGGAGACTGGCGTTGCGCTGCGGTTGTGAAGGAGGCCCGAAACCCGGACCGAGTCAGAGTAATCTGCAGGGACGAAGGCGAGGTCCAGCTCGTCAAGGAAGCGGCAGTGAAGATCAGTGTTCCTGGAGTGCGGGTATTGAGAGACCAGTTGTACCCGGTGAGGGTAGACAATGCCAACCGAACAGCGGTCCTCGATGCGGACGGAAACATCCTGCCGGGAGCCGCAGAGGCGCTAGGGACAGAGAACGACGTCAACATTGCGAAGATTGCCTGGCTCAGCAGGAAGGATACAAGCAAGGCCTACGGCTCGATGGTTGTCTACGTGACGAAGGGCAGCGAAGCAAGGCGACTTCTAGACGGGCGTTACTTCCATCTCGCCGGAGAATCCGCTTACACGACCGTTTTCGCGCCCCGGGAAGGCCCAATCCAGTGCTACAGATGCCAGGAGATCGGCCATAAGGCCTTCGCCTGCAAAAAGCCGCAAAGATGCGGAAGGTGTGCGGAACAGGGTCACCACCACAAGACGTGTCAGTCCGTGGTCCTGAAGTGCGTGCTATGCAGAGGACCACACGAGTCATTTAGCAAGAACTGTCGGGTACGCTGGTTGAACAATGGGGCCCAAGACGCTTAAGATCCTTCAGTTCAACGTCCGCAAACGGAGAGAAGTGCAGCAGAGTCTGCTAAGCGACGAGGGACTCAAGGACTTCGCAGTGCTGGCCATCTCCGAACCATATGCCAGGCTGATCGAAGGCTCGGTGACGACGGTCCCAATGAGTCATCACAACTGGACGAAGCTGATACCAACGACAAGACGAGAAGCCACGTGGCCAATTCGGAGCATGCTATGGGTACGAAGCGATATAGAGGTCGAGCAGATTCCAGTGCCGTCGGCAGACCTCACCGTCAGCACGCATTCGGCTCCCAGATCGGGCAGTGCTGATGGTGTCAGTGTATGTGGAGGGTGGTAGTGACGAAGCACTGGAAGATGCAATGAGGGAAATTGACCGACTGATTAGGAGGTTTCGAAACGGAACAGGGACGAGAACGGATATCATCCTGGCGGGCGATTTCAACCGCCACGACCAGCTTTGGGGAGGGGACGATGTCTCACCACGGAGACAAGGCGAGGGAGACCGCATCATCAACCTCATGGACGAACACTCCCTCTGCAGCCTCCTCCCAAGAGGCACGAAGACGTGGCAGTCAGGCGACATTGAGAGCACAATCGACCTGGTACTGGCCTCTGCAGAACTAGCAGACCAACTACTCAGATGCACGATTCACCCCTGCGACCATGGCTCAGACCACAGAGCAATCGAGACAGCTTTTGACACCACGGTGGAGGACCGTCCCAGTGAGACGAGGTTCCTCTTCAAGAACGCGCCCTGGGCGGAAATTAGGACTAGGGTGGCAGCAAACCTCGAACGCATCCCCTGGGACGGCAATGTCCAGCAGCAGACGGACAGGCTCATGGCAGCGGTAACCGAGGCGGTCTACGGCCTGACACCTAAAGCCAAGCCCTCACCATACGCCAAGCGGTGGTGGACAACAGACCTGACACGGCTTCGCCAGACATACACGTTTTGGAGAAACCAGGCGAGATCTCGACGTAGGATTGGGCAAACAGCACCAGAGCTCGAACAACGAGCCAGGATGGCGAGCCAAAGAGTACCACGACGCCATCCGCAGACAGAAGAGTTCGCATTGGCACGACTTCCTGGCCGATGACGCTAACATCTGGCAAGCAACGAAGTATCTGCAAACCGGCAGCGGCACGATGGGCGATAAGATACCCCCGCTCGTCCGACCCGATGGCTCCATCACGGAGGGTAAAGCAGAACAAGCGCAGGAGTTACTCACCGCCTTCTTCCCACCTTTGCCAGCGAGAATCGAAGACGAGGGCCAACGACCTCAACGGGCGCCGGTACACATGCCAGACCTAACAATGGAGGAGATAGAACAAAAGGTCCTGTCCGCTAAGCCATGGAAGGCGCCCGGGGAAGACGGTCTACCGGCAATGGTATGGAGACAGCTCTGGCCAGTGGTCAAAGACAGGGTGCTCCATTTATTCCGGACGTCGCTTCGAGACGGCGACATCCCCAGCCAGTGGAGGAATGCCAAGATCATCCCATTGAAGAAGCCAGGGAAGAGCGAATACACTCTAGCCAAGTCCTGGAGACCCCATCTCGCTGCTCTCCACGCTGGGTAAGATACTGGAGGCAGTCATTGCGGAGCGTTTATCCCATGCTGTGGAAACCTGCGGCCTTCTACCCGCCAACCACTTCGGAGCCAGGAAGAGACGCTCGACCGAACAGGCTCTCCTTCTGCTTCAGGAACACATCTACAAAGCATGGAGAGCTAGGAAGGTGCTCAGTTTGATCAGCTTCGATGTCAAGGGCGCATACAATGGGGTCTTCAAAGACAGGCTTCTCCAGAGGCTCAAGGCAAGAGGGATACCTGAACCCCTGGTCAAGTGGATCGACGCCTTCTGCTCCAAGCGCACAGCGACCATTGCCGTAAACGGGTTCACATCTGGACGGCAAGAGCTGCCCCAAGCGGGTCTTCCGCAAGGATCGCCGCTGTCTCCAGTGTTGTTCCTCTTCTTCAACGCCGACCTAGTGCAGCACAAGATCGACGCGAACGGAGGCGCAATTGCCTTCGTGGACGACTACACTGCCTGGGTAACGGGCCCGTCAGCGGAGTCGAACCGCACTGGAATCCAAGCTATCATCGACAAAGCCCTTGACTGGGAGAAACGGAGCGGTGCGCAGTTTGAAGGCGAAAAGACAGCCATCATACACTTCACGAGGAACATGGAGCGATTTTCAGAACAACCGTTCTCGGTCAAAGGCGAAGTGGTCAAACCGAAGGAAAGTGCGAAAATCCTAGGTGTCGTGATGGATCGCGAACTCCGCTACAAGCAGCACATTGCTAGGACGGCAGCTAAGGGCCTCGCAGCCGCTCTGGCCCTGAAGAGGCTGAAGATGCTTTCCCCGCGGACAGCGAGACAGCTATTTGTTGCGACAGTAGCCCCGGTCATGGACTACGCTGCCAATGTCTGGATGCATGCGTGCGGGGAAAAAGCACTGAGCTGGCTGAACAGGGCGCAGAAGATCGGGGCCCTGGCCATCACGGGAGCCTTTCGAACCGCGGCAACAGCCGTGGTGGAAGCTGAAGCGAGCATCTACCCCGTACGAGAACGACACGCCCAGGCGGCAGCCAGTCTGTGGATCAACATCCACACGCTGCCCGGAACGCATCCCCTTGCCATGAAGAAAGTCCGGACCACCGTACGATTCGTATCTCCGCTGCAGAAAATTGCCCGCGTGGCTGAAGGAGTACGAGTTGACCGGATGGAGACAATCCAGGAATACGCCGTCCCGCCCTGGGTACCTCGCCTACGACCGACGCTCGAAGCCGATCGAGGGAAGGCGGCCGAGATGGTCAACAAAATTTCGGGAATCGTGATCGCAACCAGCTCATCCGTAAAGAAGGGCATTGTTGGCATGGGCGGCCTTGCACGGGATACTCTCTTCAACAGAACTAGCGAGACTGTGACAAACTATGCTGTTGTTCTTGGGACAAGAGCAGAACCCATATACAGCAGAGCTAGCAGCCATCGCAATGGCCCTGGAGAAGTTACCGGCTAGCATCTGCCACAGGCACATCACCGTGATCACTAGGAACCAGTCAGCGCTGGCAGCAGTTGGACAGCCGCGGCAGCAATCCGGCCAAAGCATCATACGGCAAATCTACGACTTGGCCAGGCTGCACCGACAAAGAGGGAACTCGGTCAACTTTCTGTGGATACCAGCGGAGATTGACTTCGCGCTGGGGTCAGATGCCAAGGCAGCAGCCCAGAGAGCGTCGAAGCAAGGACGCACACCCGACTCCCAAATACCCCAGGCCAAGTCTACCGCGATGAGGCTGGCAATGGAAAGACAACGGGCGACAAGAGTTCTACCTGTAAGCGTGGGCAAGTTCTCAAAGGCCATGGACGCAGCACTACCAGGCAAGCACACGCGCCATCTCTATGACAAGCTGAAGCGAAGGGAGGCCTGCGTATTGGCGCAGCTCCGAACCGGAATGGCGAGACTGAACGGTTTTTTGAGCAGGATTGGGGCGGTCGAGTCAGACCTTTGTGCCTGTGGACAAGCGAGGGAATCAGTGGAACACTTTCTTTTCCGATGCTTGAGATGGACAGCTCTGAGGGAAGACATGCTGCAATGCACAGTGGCAAGACGAGGAAGCCTCTCGTTCTATCTGGGAGGGAAAGCGCCATCAGATACAAGGCATTGGTCACCAGATATGAAGGCAGTCCGGGCGACGATCAAATACGCAATGGCAACAGGAAGGCTGGAGCTGAATGAGGAGGAGAGTCTAGACCAGTCACAGTAGAAGAAGCCGACACTCAACACCACGAGCCTCAACCACGAGCCTTAACCAGCAGGTCCCGTTTTAACTGCTGAAGATAGGACGCTGAACACTTGGAGAAAGTAGCCTCCAAGTTGATCTGCTAACAACAACCAAGGCAAGAGGTAAATGGTGCAGCGAGAAAGAGGGAAGAAGTAGGGGGCTTGTACGAGTTAAAGGCAAACCGATTTGATCCGGATGTAATAAGCGTGCTAAGGCCCTATAGGCCCAGTGCCTCCGGGCGAAATAAATTCCATCCATCCATCCTTCTGACAGTAATCCCCATCCCCACTTGTCGTTTGTCGTTTAATAATACCTATCGGCGGCTTCCCGCTTGTTTTGTTTCTTCCTTTTCATTTCCACTTTGAAACAGACGAGAGCTTAAACTTAAAGAAACCACCCTCAACAATGCGCAACGCTGCGCATGCCAAAACAATCAAAGCGGCCTTATCCAATCTCTTGCAGACAGTGATAAATTCCAGATCGGATACTGTCACGGCACCAAGCCTGACCTGCTTGGGTCACGTGGGCAGCACGTGCCCACGCGACCTGGACCCACACTAGCAGCAGGATCTCCTCTCCGTTAGCGTCCCCTTGCGAGAGCTTCCTCTCTCCTCATCGCACAACTCAGTCATTAGCCAGAACCTGACCCTGTCCCGCGACTCCCCTGACCTCGCCCCGTGACAACAGGGTAGGGAACGTGTCATAGTTGTATGTACATGACGCTTCACTCTCAACGCCGCTACATTTTTCTTTTCTTGTTCTTCACATCACTTTTGGCCATGCTGACAGACCCAACCAAACGCCTTCCGACTTGCAGTACAAAGATCCCAGTTCCTCATGTGGATCTGGGTCATCCTTTTTCTTTTCCTCGCACAGCTGGCTTTCGGCTGCAAAACCTCAGACCGCCATTCTAGGCATTCGGCATCCAACTCCAAGTTATATTCACCCTCGAGAACCTCCGCATCTTTGGTCAACCCCTCCGCAATCACAGTCATCCAAAGACCTAGAGCCGCCTCCTTCGTATCGTAATGATTCTTCCCATACGCTTGCAATGCCCTCTTCAAAACATCCTCGTTTATACTCCTTGCCTGACTCAGATCTCCCACCATCCTCCAGCATCGCGCGATCCTTCTTTCCGAGTACATCGTCGCAGGGTGTACGGGCCCATACAGATGCCTTTTGGTCTCCAGTGCCTTTTCATAATACCCGCGAGCCTTGTTATAGGACTTGAACGCCATGAGATAGAAACCAACGTTTTCCATCGCCTCTAGGGTATGTGGCGATTGGAGCCCCAGGGCCTCTCTCTGTATCCGGAAGACTTCTTCCCCAAGCTTCAGGGCTTTCTCCACATTTCCCACGCGCCACTCCGTCAGCGCGAGGATCTCCTTTGCTAACGCTGCTTCGGGGCTGTTGTCTCCTTGTAGTCGGGCGACGGCTGTAACACTTTGCTCTGCTAGTTGCAACGATCGAGCGAGCATCCCCGTTGGATCGGGACAGAGCTTTGGCTTTTTGGACATGCTTCGATACGTCGAGGCAAGTTCTGCCAGCTGCAAGGCTCCGTCAAGGTCTTCCATTCCGGGAATGAGGCCCTTGATTGCTTCTTCCTGGAGTTTGGCGGCTTCAAGCAAGTCTCGCTTTGACCTCAGTGTGTGGGCGAGTTGTCGAAGGGCTACTCTGCGATCAGGGCTGTCCGGTGGACTAGAATCTACCATTGTCCGGAGGATTTTCTCGGAGAAGGCGTATTGACCGTCGGCACAGAAAAAGTTTGCGATTCTCAGTCCACCTGCTGCCGTCTCCCGGGACCCCAGCGGTTGAGATGGGTCTGCGAACTCTTGGTTATAATTGTTGAAGCATGCCTCAACATGCGGTCTGAGGTGAACGTGTCGGCCCGCAGGACCGCGTGATTCCACGAGTAATGGCCACCCCGGACCGTAGTGACTGAGCGATTCATGAATAACGTCGATGACCAGTTTCGAGAAGGCTCGACAATCTTCTGCGGGGTTCCGAATCTGTGCCCAGTCCCGTACAACTGGATGTAGTTGCCAAACCATGCCGTCAGTATCTAAGTGGAAGGTTTGTAGGAGATACAAGCCTCCCATCTCGGCTATAGCCTCGCGAAAAGCATCGGTGTCGAGGCCGCGCCCTGAGCCTTTTTGAACAAATGGAGTCATCCAATCAGGGAGCGTACGCTCGGTGGGTGAGCTGAGAAAGGCTTTGAACAGACTCTCAGGAATGCTGGCCCCACCAAGGAACGCGCTCGTGATGAGGAGCTGTGTCTTGGAGTGTATCATCGATGCGTCACCGGACAGCCCCTTCAAAGAGAGCTCCCATGTCGTTGCGATGCTCAGCTCCGTGCTCTCCACATGACCGCTGCCATCATGGTCATCACCCCGGGCTTCATTTGAAATTTTGGCATCCCGCCGGTATCGCCATACGGAGGGTATGGAGGACATGATCTGTTTTTGTTGGCGTTGGTAGTGTGATAGGAAGCACCTAAAAGTCATGTGCCGGCCCGAAATGTATGCCCCAGCTTGGGCGATAGCAAGTGGGAGATAACCAAGCCTCCGTACGACACGTCTAGCCTGCTCATCATGATCCTGCTCCAAATGAGGATGGGAGACTATCGTACGGAGAAGGTCCAAAGCCTCGTCTTCCTGCATGCTGCCAATCTCGACCGGCAACCCCATCGGTCTCGCTGATGCTGTACGACTGGTGATGATAACCAGCCCGCGACCGCAGCTGGGGAGAAATCGTTCAATGCCATCACATGCGCGGGGATCGTCGACGTTGTCAAACACAACCAACCAGGGCATATCAGACCTTGCAATCTCCTCAAGCACTGAACAGACTGCCAGGTCTGGCTCTAGATTGTCATTCTTCCCAATTTCCGGCAGCATGTGCCTCACAGCCTGCAAGAAGCTTTGCTTGATGGTTGCAGTTGAAGAGCCGTCTATCCACATCACTCCCCCAAAGGCTGGTGACAACTGGGCTAGACGACAGTAATGCAAAGCAAGCTGCGACTTCCCAGTTCCTCCCGTTCCTAGGAGCACCAGGGTCACTGACTCGGAGCTTAACTCAACCCGATGGAAGTATCGATTGATGGTCTTCATCTCGCTTCGATGGATGAAATATTCTTTATCTCCGGAATAACAAGGGAAAAGGGCAGGCTTTCCCGCAGTGGGCTTTGTCGCAGTGGGCTTTGTCGCAGTGGGCTTTGGAGTGGCAGACTCTTGAATGCTTCCACTGAGTTTGCTGAGCGGTAATTCGACTCTCGGGATGCCAGCTAGAGCGTCCACAATTTCATCAACTGCTTTGCGGGCAGCAGCACCACGCAAATACGCCTTCGTGTGCGATTCCACATCGCTTAGTCGCGCCCACGCATCCAATGGGATGTCTCCCACCTCAGGGCCGGCATTGAGACGGTGGTATAATGGCGTACAATGCGCAAACTGGGCCTCCATTCTCCCCGCCTCCTCTTCCCCATCCGTCACCAGACGTCCCACGACCTTCATCAGTGCCACCGGAACAACCCGCTCGTACCCTATCGGTCTGGGGAGGGCGGAGGCACGATGCAGGCCAGTTCCGATGCTCAAGATACAGCCAACCAAGCGGTCAACCCCAAACTCAGTGACGGCCTCAGAAATGACGCAACGGATGGGGTTGTTGCACCCCAGCGCGCCATCAACGTACGCCTTGGTCCCGGTCGGCTCGCCGATGACGATTTGCTTGAACAGTGGCGGTGCTGCTGTTGTTGCTCTCGCTGCCTGCCAGATAGCGCAGTTGTGACTTGCGTCCTTTTTCGGCGCCCAACTCCGGAATAATGTTGGAACTTTGTTGACGCACTTGGTGTCTACCGCACATACAAAGGTTTTGCACCTAGTTCTTAGACCATTGCCAGCGTCCATTTTCTCGTTGGCGTTTCCAAGTGTTTGTTCAACGACACGCTTTATGGAGTCTTCTAGTGCTGACGCTTTGAACCTCCCGTCCTTCCAGAATGGCTTCCGTGCGGTGAAGATGGTTTCGGCGAGGCTGGTGTAGTGGGCGATTGCTTCCGGGACCGTGAGGCGTAGCCGCCCAAGAAGCAGAGCTACCAGGCTTTGATGATGTATCATCATGTCAGTGGATAAGGTAGGTACATAGTCACGGTGTGGAGCTACCAGAGGGGCAAGGGACACTGAAATTGACGACAGAACTTACCCACCTGTACTGGTCCCCCCAATCATGTGGAACACGTCCGCTGGCAGGAGGTCCTCCTTGGAGTCGAAACGCGACTTGAGTCTACTCATAATCTCGTTTAGGATCAAGAGCTCCGACAGTCCTGTTGGATTAACCATAGGCACCGATCAGCACGCAGCGAGCCTACAGGTAGTGGATTATGGTCTGACTACTAACCTCGAATGCCGCCTCCATCTACGTAAAATAACACCAGTATGGTTAGTCGTGAGAAAACACCGGTCTAATTCGAATGTGATACTTTACCCAGAGAAAGTAAACATAACGGTCCTGTTTCTAAAGTCGTTTGACGACCCATCTGGATCAAATTGAACGAGCGGCTGCAGATTGCAGAGTTATGACGCCCGAGTAATTACCCGCACGATGAATACAGGGGACAGAATCAACTTCCTAGGGACTTCAGCAGACGTATAGCGGCGCTCAACGGTGACTTTTCGTGGGACGCGTCACTGACCAGCGTTACGACTTTGAGGATCTACGGGTACAAGTATCTGACGGTGCCATGCTGTTTCGTATACCACAGTAAGTGTGAAACGAAGCTGCTGTGTTAACCAGAACGCCCTTGATGCCTGATTATGCACGATTATGCACTCAGAGCTGTGGCATCCAATCGCTCCTCCGAGAACTCTGGAGGCTTCGCCTAGTAAATGAAACGAAGCGGCCCTTCTTCGCTTCCCCAACATACATTGTACATCTGAGACTCATCATTGAAGCGAAACTTAATTGAACGGCATATAACAGGCGAAATGCTACTAGAACATTCCACCTTATCTAGCTGGACGACTGATGATACTGCACCCGTTTTTGCTCCGTAGTTGCAGCCCATCATGCAGGACGCCACTCCGCTGGCAGTTACCTCGACTCGACGCCGAGGCATTTTTGCTGCTTGCTGCCCGTTTTCGCTCTGCACGTTGCAGCCTTGCAGGGCACCACTGCAGCCACATGTCTCCGCTGGTGGCGAGTGTAATCTGTAGTTACGGTAGGCTAAAATGTGAAAGTGGTGCCACCCGCGCGCGCGCCAAGGCGGGCCAGGCCTTTGCACCGCCGAGGCATTTTTGCTTTGCCACGCGCTCGGTACCACGTTGCAGGACGCCACCATACGTGTATCCACTAGTATGTGCATACATGTACCATACATATGTAGGTAGACGCCAAGGCATTCTTGCTCAGATCCAACGGGATTATGTGCCCACCTTAGGTAGCTAGGTACCTACCTAGTCATGCTGCGCCAGTTTTGGCTGCGCTGCAAGCTGCACGCACTCTTTGTGGCATGTTGACCGGCTTTTGTCCGCCCCAAGGCATTTTCTCTCGAATACACCTATTCCGGGGTTTTTAATGTTAGCGTGTGAATTGACCCGCTTTTCTCAATATTTTGGCCAGCCACTGACGAAATTCCCCACTCAGGTCACTTTTCTAGCAGTTTCTATGGCAAAATACTTCCGGATAAAATGCCCCGCATTGCCACTGCACAGGCACTGCAAAGGCACTGGCACTGTCATGGATATCCGGGCATTGGTCAACAACAACAAGAGCATCCACACATCGCCCTGTGCTCAGCGGTTCTACCAGCTGCTGTTGAGAGGGCTTGGGAGGCTGTGCCTGTTGATTATCTTCGACGGTTGGCCCACGGGATGCCTGGTCGCTTACGACAGGTAATTGAAAATGGTGGGGGGAGGATTGGGTACTGATACTTGTAACTATACTGCAAATATATGGATCTTGGCTGTACTGTGATTTCTTGGCTGTTTGCCTGATTCTGGCTTAGTGTGGCCAAAGTCACACGCTAACATTAAAAACCCCGGAATAGGTGTACGAATACCAGTCGTGTTGCACTGCAGGGAGCTCCTGATAGTGGGAAAACGTGAGGTAAAAGTGCCATAATTATGAACAAGTGCCATAATTATGAACAAAGGAGAGTAGCTCTCAGGAGCGGACTAAATACAAAAGAAAACCCCTTTTCCTGCATGCCAACCTTTCAGGGTGAATGCCAAGCTCTTAAGAGCTTACCGAGAGATGCCTATCCTGCGACAAGTCGTCCTGTTGTTGGATCAGGCAGGGACTGAATGATCATCGCGGATGCCTTGCAGCCTTCATGTTGGCAGACTGCCCGACTCAGACCGACCTCAGAGCCTTGCCTCACATTTGACTCATGTCCAGGAAACAGACAATGCCAGGGGCGAAGAGCAATGGAAAGCGTGTATAAAGCGTACGCTGTCTCTCGCCCTCGACCTCCAATGTCCCTTTACAACTTCAGGTTCCACCACACTTGAGACAACTCACTCCACTTAAAATTTCATCTTATCTGTTTTGTGTCGCCAACAGCGGGCAACCAACAACCACTAGTTATTGGCATCTGCCTGAGACAACCACCAGGACACCAACGCACCAGTCCCGACGGGGACTCGCTCTATTCTATGTTTTCGCCACCCCCAACTGCCCCGCGGAGGCTCGGAGGACGTTCGGATATTCCAACTTCCGCGACGTTCAACAAACAAATCGCGGCGATCCAGAAAGACGCTACCAACAAGGCTGCATCCGAGAAGACCCAGAGCAGCGGTCAGAAGTAGGACCAGACCCCGCAGGACTAGACCCCGGAGGACGAGACCCCGATTGGTTGATGGGCTATCGTCTTGGATAGCATCAGAGCTCATTTCTAAGATGAAGCGTGGTGTCGGAATGGACAGGCACGGGACGGCCCTCCACTGTATGTGTTAGAGTCAAGGAGACTGCTCGGTTTTAAGGCTTATCGCATGTCGGGCTAGGCAGTATCGGGCTGATATGGACATTCATTTGAGCGGACGGGACGCTATCGTGACCCTTCAACATTCAGGATAGTCAATTCACCAAACCCTTAGTAAAACCCCAACCCAGCCTCCATTCGTCGAAACAGAATACTTCCTTGTCCACTGTGATAAATGTTAATACCATCATCTTCCACCTTACGGTAGCTTATCTGATCACAGGTGCACTGAACAGGGCAAGTTTGCTGAATGCTTATCCGAGTACTTTGAACTGAGGCCACTGCGTCTAATCTGATCTACTTACCTAGGTACCTTAGGTACGAATCAAGATCGCCCCTGAGTTGGTAGTTCACTCCCTGGCCCGCCAACCATGCCAATCAAGCGCCCAAATTACGAAAGTGGGACACTTTAACGCAACTGCTCATGGCTACTGCATTTCCTTTAGCGGTCCAACACAGGCCGAGTATTGTGAATGGACAATTTAACCCCTACATGCTTAAATTGGACCCGAGCCTACGCTCGCCTCTGCTGCGTCGTTCCCGGTCAGGCATCGGCGCATTGCTGGACTAGCACGGCGTGCATCCTCCTTTTCTAGGTACCTTTGCAAGTCTATACTCATGATCCGAGACCGTTCCCGCTCGTGCATGGATATTCACTATCTGTAAATACCCAATTAGAGACGAGAGTCATTAGCCATACATGCCCAGAGTGCAGTAGGATGCCCGTTCAAGCTGGGGCCTGGGAGCCTGTCGGTCCCGGCTCTGCGAAGTACTGTTGCGGTACATCCGAACGCGCCAACCGAAACCCATTCAGTCCTGGTTGCAGTTCTCACGCCAAGTCAATTTGACTTTGTGAGCGCTAACCGCAGACAAGATCACAGACGAACGCAACAGAAGATCATGGCCGAGTTGCAACTCACCACGACTCTCGTAGGCAGCTCCTCATGTATCCGCCTTGCCCGACGAGTCACTGGCCGCTATTGCGAAACTAACCAAGAAAAGAATTATAATGGAAACGGCAAAATGCAGCCCCCTTCCCCCCCAACCCAAAGGGAAAAAAGGGGGCAGATTACGTCAAGCTGGCTGCAACGAACTTGCAGCAACACATGAAATTGGGCGCTATTAACAAACAAGCCGCTTACACAGCCTTAAGCCGTTGGGTATTCTCAGTCCCTCACTATTTGAGCGGCTTGATATCATGAGCTGTTTATGATTAATATGAGTGGCTTTTGAACCGTGAGCGACGCATCCGCGATATAAGCCACTTGTGAATATGAGCCGCTCTCATTTTGAGAGCCGTATAGACAATCTTAGATACAAAGCCGTAGCCCCTCTTTGCCTAGGTAGATTCATCGCAGATTACCGGGCTGTTTTCTTTTTCGTTTCTTTTTTGAAGTTGTTTATTTCTTTTCTGGGGTTTCTTTTTTTCTACAAAATGCATGAAGCGACCCTGAAAATCCCCCACATTTTCGGTTCAACAACACAAGCCCAGGGACAGAAGCGAGAGACGAAGATCGCTCCCAGGTTGGGGACCGGAGACAGAACTCGCGTTATCATTTGTCTGGAAGGTCGCGTAGAAGATCTGCTTCAGATTCGAGATTCGTTCATGTGGAACATCCAATCATAAATCCCCATCTCGTTTCTCCTCTCAAGCCCCAGGGCTCTTTGTCCTTCCTTTAACTATGTGTTGCCGCTTACACCTTTCAAGCTCCCCCCATTCCTCAACACGGACATGACCCAGCAAGTGGACACCCGGCAACCTGGAGCGATGGAAGTCGAACTTCCAGTCCTCATTTGATAATACCAATCCCAGACAATTCCTACGACTCCAATGAAATGTTGGATTTCCGTCTTCTACCCTCGCAAGTGTTCCGAGTCTAGTTTGCAGCCTGCACACGCATCCCAATAGCGTGCCAACGTCGCGGTATTGGGCCGCAGCAAGGTATTTGACGGCACGGTGGTCTTCGACGCGGGAATTCCGGGCCACGCGTCAGTGTGATGGTTGCACTTGTACGTAATACCGGGCTCGAGCCGGCCGGTTAATATCCCCCTATAGTGCCGAGGCCACCTCCTGCACCCGGCCCGGTTCAAGGGCCCGCGCCATCCTGCCGCTGACATCGGACCTCAATACGACATTTCCATCAACTTCCTGGTCGGACCCGTGCCGGCACCCGTCTCACCAGACGGTCCCAAGTGCCCAATTTCTATTCACGCAATCGTGGAATGGCTGGCGATTCGATATGCTGGGACATGGTTATTGTTTGAATGTGGCCCGTAACCACCATCAGCGTAAAGTATCCAGGGGTCAAAACCGGTGTTGTGTTGGATCTGTCGTCGACGGGTTGGGATCTTAAACACCAGGTCTGTTCGCATGTTTTAAGACGAAGGCGAACCACTGGACCGAATCGCTGAACTAAACCTTCGTAAACGCGCGCTGAAAGCTTAAGAGCCCGTGGGCTGGGGCAGATCACGCCGTCTCTCCGGCTGGGGGTGATTGGGTGTTGTTGATTTGATATCGCCCCATGCTGGATTTTCGGTCCCCGTGACGAGGGGTGTTAAGATTCTGGGATATGGCGTTTGGCCCGGCTTTGGAGGGACCAACATCCTCCGGACGATCTCATTATATACACGGTATGTATCAAGTCGATCCGGGGGCTCCGCCTTGCCCGTTTCAAACCCTTCGGTGTCTCCACCGAACGGCCCAACACCCGCCCAGCCCTTGGCACGTGTGCCGCTTGCTCGCGGACCAGTACAAAGTCTCTGAATCGTTGATCGGCCGGTCCTGCTCCCAAATGGTAATCGAGAAAAGGATTGGCGCTTCTAAACTTCAAACGGGACGCGGGCTCAGCGGTGGGGCCAGTCTGGGGGCGGGGCAGGGACTGTGAGCAGGGAAGTAGGAATGAGGACTCCTCGAGGCCAGATATACAGGCGTTCCTCCCTAGGTCATGGGACATAGTTGATGAAATCCTGTGTCCCAACATGTAAACTCGGCAAAGTAGGTAATCATGGCTTCATTTTGTCTTCGGGCGTCAGCCGCCCTCTACGCCGTGTTGCTAGTCCCATCCGCCTCAGCGACAGAAAAGGGCCCCCAACAAGAAACAAAGATAAAACAACAGGGCTTATTCGGAACTGATTGCCTGCCTGGGCCGTTACAACTTGATTTGTACCCCACGTGTGTGACTGCCACTAGCAACGACGATGATCTACCCTGGGCGCCGTGGACGTATCGACCCTACTGCGCCGACAACACCAACTATTGCGTCTTCACCAACACCGACTTCCGGGGTGGAGAGCGGGGCGTGAGCGTCATTGACGTGCCGCCGTCCGGGACCGGAAATGCTACTTCGGCGGTGACCTCCATCGCCAAGTTACTCTCGTCCCTCCCGGAAACCCCTGAATCCGTCGACACGACATTCACATCACCGCCATATGAATTGCGAGACATTCCCGGAAAGGGCAAGGGCCTCATCGCAACACGGAAAATCAAACGCGGCCAAGTATTCATGGTCGATTATGCCGCCGTTGTGGCTGATACCAAGCTTCCGGGCCGCGTCAGACAGGCGCAGGGACGGAAGCTCCTGAACGAGGCCATCGAGCGGCTACCGGGAGGCAGATGAGGTTTTGAGTCTGGCAAGGAGCAGCCCCGATCCCGACAACGTACCCGCGGGTGAGGATGTAATGACTACAAACTCGTTTGGTGTCGAGATTGACGGAAAAGGGGTACATGGTGCTGTTCCCACAAAAGATTGCAGTACGTTCTTGAACCTTTGCACCAATGTTACAATTCCATACCTAATTATTTTTTTTCCACGACGTAAAGCGGATGAATCCCACGCCTGCAAACCAAGGTAAGCCTCCCAAAATCCTATTATTAGCTTCACAACTCCCCACATGACCTGACCCCTCCCCCCAGCGCAATCACCCGTTTCAACGCAACATCCCTCTCCAACACAGCCACCGCCTTCCACGACATCCTCCCCAACGAGGAACTCACCATTAGCTGTACGTATATTCCTAACCCCTTCCACCACCCCCAACCACCAGCATCACCCCAGCCCCAACCAAACCTATACTGACCCTCAAAACCAACCAACCTAGACGCCGAATTCGGCCTCCCCTCCACCGCGCGCCAACGCTCCCTCCGCAAATGGGGTTTCACCTGCACCTGCGCGCTGTGCTCGCTCCCCGCCGCGGAGCTGGCGGCCTCGGACGAGCGGCGCACCCGCGTATCGCGGCTCGGCAAGGAGGTCATCGAGCTGGTGACCCACGGCGGCAGCAGGGAGGACCTGCGGACGGCGGCGGAGCTGTACGCCGAGGCGGTGGACGCGGTGAGGGAGGAGGGCCTGGTGCCGCATCTGGGTGGGCATTATCAGGTGTTGGGGCAGCTGTGGGCGGCGGCGGGGGAGGTGGAGAGGGGGAGGGAGTGGGTGAGGAGGGGGAAGGTGGAGACGGAGGGGTTTGAGGGTGTTTGGGGGTAGGGGGTGGTGACTGGAGGTAGAGGATGGTCAAGTAAGGGTGGTGCTGAGGGAAATACCAAAGGAGAGTAAGACGGTGGTAGAGGCGTATTTAATTTTGTGGTAACTAGATGTATAAAAGATGGTTGTAAATTGAGGTAGAGCTTATAAGCTGGTTCGGAAGGAAGCTCGAGTAAAACATGTACCCAGACTAAGGTAGTCCGGCCACTTTCAGCATTAGCGGGCCAATAGTTACTGGTTTTTCTCAGATACGGTCAGCCGGCGACTGAGGTAGAGAATTGGCTGGATGCGGTCCAGTGGGATTCCGGCACCGCTGGTATCATTTATCCTTTTCCAAGTGAAACGCCATAATGCTGATACCTCTTTTTGGCGCATCGATCTTGATGAAGGCTGGTCGGGCCTTATTCCAATGCGCGAGGTGTACATAATCTCGCTGCATGTAGGTACGCTAAATTTGTGGTACGCATGTGGGTTTTAAACTGTTATCTTTCATTTTTAAAAAAGAATCCAAACAACTAGCTAGGTACCTAGTCTACTACTAGACGTTAGATTACCATAATTACCCTCTGCCCTTAATTATCTTTCCCACACATGAATAGGTCATGGGGCAGCAAGCACCTTACACTCAATGTCACACACCAGCTACCTAACCATCATCGTCGTCCTTCCACTTGTCACACCTTCCCGAGGGCATATAGTGCAGCTGGAAAGCATGCCGCTTCAATTCATACCGCATGATTACGCCAACATTGCCTTCCTCGTCCTGGGCCGCGTTGGCTTTTCCAAAATCCTGTTCGGACTCGTCCTCGGCCTTAAATCGGCATTGGCCAAAGTCAACCATAATGTCACGATTATGGCCGCTTGCGGGCGACCGGCGGGGCATGCTGGCAGTGCCCTGGACCAATCAGTTAGACGACAGTATGTACTAACCAATAGAAACAAGGTGCAAGTGACCCCAGTGATCTCTGGGAGATCACTGAACGGGACACAGATCACCAACTTATCCCCTTGATCTGTGATGAGGGCAACAAAGATCACTGAGATTAAGTACAAGGTACTTGATGGTTTAGCTAGTATATAGTCACTCGTTCTGGAGAGCTCTGGGAGTTCTCCAGTTAGCAATAACAACTACAGTTCGCTAAAAGCTCGAGAGCCTACTGTTGAGACAAGCTTTTGTTGTGCACCCTTTGGCTGCACCGAACCTAAGCACCCTTGAGAGATTACCTTCAACCGAAGCTGAACCCTAACAGGACAGGGTCCTGAGATAGGTTCGTCACACATAAACACCTGGAAACGGCCATCTTTCTAGGGTGATGAAACCAAAAGGTTCCGAAGCCCAGCGGTCGTCTTCGAGGGTGTTGGAGTCGCCAAGGGGGTGGATAGCTCGCTGCAAGGGCTTGGTCGACGATGTCCTGCCGCGCGCCGCGAGGTCGCAGCACATGGTCTGTCATTAGTTGCAAGTAGAACCCATTGACGTGCTTGTGGACATGGATGATACCTTTGACGTAGAACAGCTCGTCGTCTGGGGAGCTGGGAGGGGTCAGATGTAGGTCTATGTCCTCGAGGAGACGTGGCATTAGCTCCCCTTGGAAGTTGCGTAACGTGTGGTAAGCGGCAACCTCATTTGCATGGTACTGGAGCAGTTTGTCAGCTAAAAAAGGCTTCTCTTTGGGCATCCTCCCAGCCTTTTACGGTGTCGTGTAGGGGGTTCTCAATGTGGCGGACGTCATCGAGGAACTGGTGGATGGTGCCTGCACCTGCTTGGAGTGCCTTGATGTATGCAATCTCCATGGCAGGCCCCCAAGGGTTAATCCCGTTGCCGCACCCTAGGATATCGGAAGATTTACGGTTGTAAAGCTTGAGGAAAGTAGTCTTCGTTGCCTGATGGTTGTAGGCGGTGCCCCCCATATTACCGTCAACCCGACGACCATGGTGCAAGACAGCGTCCGGGTTTTGATTTCATCGATGTGGACGCGGATTGTCGGCAGCGAAGGGTTATGTCTGTTTACGGCGAGTAATATGTCGTCGCCAGCGGGGTAGACTTGAAAAAGGGGTGCCATTGTGGATGTGACATGGGCACAAAGATGGGTTCAGAAACGAAGGTCCAGTTAGTCCAAGAAGCTAAGACCGGAAGTCTAAGAACTGACGGGGGGGGGGGGATATGGGCAATATATCCCCTTTCAAAAAAAGGCCTGAGCGCTGGGTGATTAAGTTTTGCCTAGTACCTAATTGCCTATCTGAGAGAGGTGAAGGTTGCCTTGGGTGATTGTAGATGGATGCGAGGATGTGTCGCGGGTTCAGCTTGCCCAGGTCTGCTGTCCGCAGTGACGACTGATTGACGATGCCCCTCGTTGACTGGTGGTCAGTAAAGATGACCACGGGGTGCTCTGAAGACTGGATCCACGTCCGTAGCTTACGGCATGCCCAAACCAGTCCTGTGACCTCAAGCTCTGTCGGCCAGTATTGGTTCTTTTTGGATGTTGTCAGTCGACTGCTGGGGTAGTTAGAGGAAGGGTGGATACGCGCCATGTAAATCCTGGCACCATCTCAGGTATCGCCCTCCAGGTGGGACGCCATTGCACCAATGCCCCTCTTCGATGCGTCTATCTTGATGAATGCCGGGCGTGCCTTGTTCCAGTGGACGAGGTATATTGTCTTGCTCAATTGTCGCTGCAGGATGTTAAACGCTTGTTGCTCGTTGTGCATGGGTGTGAATCTGGCCTTGGATATATACCCCTTCAGGTAAGTTTTGCCTCGTACCTAGATGCTTATCTGAGAGACGTGAAGGTTGCCTTGGGTGATTAAGGTCTGACCGCTGGGTGATTCAGTTCTTCTTAGTATCTAATTGTCCATCTGAGAGAGGTGGAGAGGTGAAGGTTGCCTGGGGAGGTGGTAATGGGTAGTGAAACACATGACGCGCTTTGACAATGATGAGCAGCCTGCAGAATTTGACCATCATGTGTATAGGCGTGTTTTTTGCGGTGAGGGCAGATCCGAAGTTTAGTTTCGAGAGGCTTCTACCTCGAGAACCCCCCCAGTCGAACCTGCAATCCGATACAAGAGACAACGCCCTCCCTAAGGGGTAGGCCTTCTGGAACCTGGAAACTAAGACTCTCAATCTGGTCTATACCTGTGTATAAAGAAAGAAAATACGGGATAATTCGGGGCCCTAAGGTCCAGCTAGCCCCCCTTTTCCCTCCCCTCCACTCAGTTCTGTTTCTTTAATTTATTTTCTTCATTTCTTTCCAATTTTTTCTCAAAGAGAAAAGAACGTCCTTGAATTTCGGCCCAAAAGTCTCAAAGCTGGCGTTGATCGAAAGCTCTCGCAAAGCCCTATCTAGCCACACCACGTGCACCGACGCGCAATCCGCAGCGCGGCCGCAGTGGGCGTGGAAAGAAGGGCGATCCGGGACACGCAGTCGCCCTGGAAATCTCTATCGCCAACGCACGGACCCACGAGCTACCCGACCCACACACAGTTACCCAGACGACCACGGCCCCCTGAACCCCTGAGTGGAGGCAAGATGGCCGGCCCTAGTGCTCCAGCCCCAAGGGGAAGAAGTGTGCTAGAGCAGTCCCGGCACTTACCCCCCCACCCCGCCCCTCTCACCCCCGCCCTCCGACATAGAGGCTATCAAGAAGATGGTTGACGAGCTGGTGGGACTAGTAGACCCCGAGAAGAAAGGGACAGCCAGAGGCATGGGACAGGACTGCTAGCAGCCGTCCGGAAAATGTACGACGCGTCTCAGTCACAGACTGGAAACATCTCGCTGGCCAACCTCCGCAAGGTGGTGGCCGAGGAAGTGAAGGCAGCCGTTAATGGAGCCGGGACCCAGGACAAAGGAACCTGGGCCGCAGTGGCCGCTCACAGGGCTGTCCCCCCTCAGTCACAACCCAACACCCCGACAAAGATAGTGCCGACCCGCATAAATAAGGAGATCCTAGTTAGAGGCAGAGGAATGCCAGCCGATCTCGCGAAGCGCACGCCGCAAGAAACCATCCAGGCGGTCAACCAAGTGTCAGTCAAGAAGGGAGCAGTCGCAGCCCGAAGGCTCCCCAGCGGCGACACAATCGTCACATTCCAGAGCGCAGGCGGCATAGAGACTGGCAGCTTCGACGAATCACCAAACTGGATCAAGGGAGGCTTTTGGAGAGCAAGGCTGAAAGAAGAGCAAGAAGAACCTTTTGCAGTGCTGCTGATAAGGCGTGTGGAAGAAAGAACCTCCAAGAGGGTCTACCGAGGAGGGAGTTCGGGAAGGAAACTGGGCCTTCCACACAGTAGATAAAGTGAAAGTTTAGAGTGCCGAGACACAGGGAAGGCGACCCGAAGCAACGGTTGCTGGTCGCTTCTAACCTCCCAGGAGGAAGCACGCAAGGCGTGTGACGAGGGAGTGATCTGGAGGGCTCAGCTACTGGACTGCGAGCCTTACTGGGCTGCCCTCAGTCCAACGCAGTGCTACAAGTGCTGGAAGTGGGGGCACACGCAGCACTATTGCAAGGCGACTCCATTGTGCCCGCGTTGCGGGACCAAAGCCCATGGAGAGGGCGGCAGGGAAGGCGAGGCCCAGTGCCCTACTCACAAAAACGAAATTTCGCTACGGTGCCCGGCCTGCGGAGGAAGACATCCGGCGTGGTCAGGAGAGTGCCCGGAGAAGTCGAAGGTCCTCGCGAAGGCCAAGGAGGCCTACCAATTCCGACCACGGACATACGAGACCGCAACCACGATCTCTGCCATCACGACTCACACGAGCGCCCCCACGTTTAGCTTCGGTGCTGAAGAGAGGGAGGACGACAGCTACCAGGTGGTAGGCAGGACGAGGCTGAGAGGAAGGTCGACGAATGTGGCTGCAACCCAACGTCAGGCTCTCTTAGACCCCCAGCAGACCAGGATCGACTTCGAGGCACCGAGGGTGCGATTCGCAAGCCCGGTAGTCAGCGGTGTCGACACCACCGCCCCGCCGCCCCGAGCGCCCGAGCCGGCTACCGGACCAACGCCTACCGCCGCCGCCAACCCTGCGGTCACTGCCACTCCGGACCAACGAGACGCCGAGGGAGACACCACGATGGACTCGATCACCGTCGCAGGCGATGAAAATTAAAATTTTACTCTGGAACACCGAAGGAAACAAGCAAACACTGGAAGTCTTGCTGGAAGAGGCCAAATATGACCTCTTGGCGGTGCAAGAACCGTGGATCAACAAGGCGACAAAATCCACATACTGCCCCCGGAGCAGCAGATACCACCTGGTACATAAGCTCGAGGGGCGGGCGGCAATATATGTAAGCAAAAGATTTGAAATCAGGCAGTGGGACTCCGAAGCCACGGAGAATTGGTGCCGCGTGTGGTTCCCAGAGGCGGACCTCGGAGGGGAAAGCCGCGGATTCGAGCTTTGGTCCGTATACAACCCCCCCGCCGGCGAGAACGTACCGAGAGCCCTCCAAGGGCGGCCAAGACCAAGCCACCCGGTGGTTTTGGCAGGAGACTTCAACCTAAAGAACCCACTGTGGGACGGGTTCGGACGCTACGACAGGAAATCCGAAGACCTATTGCAGCTGGGTTCCCTGTGGGACCTCACCATCAGGACTCCAAGGGGAGCGACAACGCGAGCTCCCCAGGGGCGACAGCGAGGCCGCCCGTCAACCATCGACCACTTCTGGACTTCGGAAAACCCCCAAACAGTATACTACGGGGAAGAGTGTCGTGGAAAGTCAGACCACTACCCACAAGTGCTCGAGGTCGGGGAAGGGCATGGGCCGAGGCCAACCCAACCGGATGGCTGGGCCTGGAAGAAGATGGACAGGGAGAGGGTGAAGGCTGAATCAGAGTTGCTATGCAAGGTCATGGGGCTCGCGGACCCGGGACCGGACGGACTACCGGCCAAAACCCGGACAGTCGAGGGTCTTGACAAAGCTTTCGATAGCCTGGTCGAGTGGCTCACCTGGGTCGCGAAGGAAAGCACTCCACGGAAGAAGGCGAGCTGCGGCTACAGCTCCCCCTGGTGGACTGTGGAGGTGCAGCAGGCCGCCCGGGAGGCCAGAAGGGCCGAGAGGCTGGCGAAGGAGACCCGGGCAGAGTACTGCTGGGAGGAGCTTAGCGAAAGACTCAAGGACCTTGCTAGAACAACGCGCGAAGCGCGGACTAGGGCTTGGAGGAACAGCCTACAGGAAGCAAGCGAGGCAAAGAAGCCCGATCAGATGTGGAGCTTGGAAAGATGGGCTAGGTTGCGGAGCTTTTTGCCGCCAGAACCACCGAGGCTGCCGGAATTTAAGGACTCTTCCGGACAGGTAACGGCCGAAACGCACGACCAGAAGGCCAGCGCGCTGGCTGAGAGGTTCTTCCCGGACCCACCGGCCAACCTGACGGACGTGGAAGACCAAGCCTTTTTGGGCAGCTGGAACCCGGGCTTCGACGTCGTACAGGCAGTGACGCCGATCGAGATCACGGAGGCGATGGGAAGAGCAAGCCCCTGGAAGGCGCCAGGCGAGGATTTGCTCCCGATGGGCCTTCTGAAGGCGTGCGGAGCACCGTTAGCTGAAGTGCTGGCCCTTCTGGCGACAAGGTGCCTGGAGCTAGGATGGTTCCCGAGCCGTTTCAAGAGGGCGAAGACTGTAGTACTACCGAAACCAGGAAAGGCTCCGCCGGCGTATCAGACCCCGGGGGGATACAGGCCCATTGCTCTGTTGCCAACCCTGGGGAAGGTAATAGAGTCAGTGGTCGCCAGGAAGGTCACTCAAGCTGCAGAAGTCAACGGCCTCCTACCAGATGAACAAATGGGGAACAGGGCACACCGCTCTACAGAGCTGGCTGTCCGGCTAGTAGTAGCTCAGGTCCAGGAGGCGTGGAGACAGAAGGGTGCGGCATCCCTATTGCAACTGGACATCTCAGGAGCCTTTGACACGGTCAACCATACCCGACTGCTAGCAACTTTGCGAGAAATGGGCTTCCCGAGGTGGCTGGTCCTCTGGACGAGGGATTGGTTGACCGGTCGAGAGGCCACCCTTCTTTTCGACGGCAAGACGGCGGCGCCGACGGCAATTCGGGCAGGGGTCCTCCAAGGCTCACCCCTTTCCCCTGTTCTCTTCATCCTCTACATTTCCTCATTATACAAGCAGCTAAAAGACGAGCAGCCTCACTTGGCTATAACAGGGTTTGCGGATGACACCAACCTTCTAGTATTTGGTCGAAACCCCGAAGCCAATGTCCGGCAACTAGAGGCGGCGTGGGAAACGTGTATACGATGGGCGGACAGTCGGGGGATGAAGTTCGCCCCGGAAAAGAGCGAACTCATCCATTTCAACAAAGGGCGACGGCAGTGGACCGAACAGGTAAACCTTGCCAACCCAGGGGGAGGCACTAGCCCCGTTAAACCAGAAGAGTCTGCCAGGTTCCTGGGGGTCTGGTTGGACTGGAAACTCAACTGGAAGGCTCACCTGGTGGCGGTGGAGAAGAAGCTGAGGACCCAGAGCTATGCCCTGTCGAGGATCGTGGCAAAGACATGGGGAATGGGGCTAGCCAAAGCGCGAGAAGTGTACACAAAGTGCATCCGGTCGGCGCTGGCCTATGGCGCATCATCGTTTCACATCCCCACGGATGTGGGAGGCGAGCCGGTAAAGAAAGGCATCACTAAGGCCCTCGGGAAGGCCCAGAACAAGAGCTTGCGGATTGTGGCGGGAGCCTTTAAGTCTACCCCCATCCGTAACCTCGAGACAGAGACATGGGTACCACCATTGGACTTGTACCTAAACAAACGGCTTGCAGATTTCGAAACCCGACTCCAACGACCCGATCTGGACGACGGTCGAGGCGGCAAGAAGACGGCGGCGAGCGTTGTCCTCACCGCCTGCCGCAAGATACAGCAGAGACTTAGCTCGAGGAGGGGCAACAGGGGCCGACCGCGAACCTTGGGACCTCAAGGGCCTACGGCGGTGGAGAGAGCCGCGGGTACGGTCATGCGCCGGACGGGGGGGACCGTTGATACGAACAGGGTAGTAGAAGAGGCTTGGAAAGCGAGGTGGTTAAAGGAACGGGACGGCAGAGCGATCACCAGGCCGGCGGACGACTTTGACCATCAGCAGGAGACGCTATTCCGGAACGGAACCCTTAGGAGGCACGACGGTCTCAGCAAGGCGAAGAGCTGGTTCAAATCCGGACGGGAGCAATAGGCTTACGGGACTTCGTTTACACGGGGAGTCCCGGAGGTTCTGACTCCTGCCTGCGAGCGTGGCGAGGGACGAGAGACTGCCGAACACCTGGTAGTGTGGTGTTTGGCCCCACCGTTGACTCGAAGATGGGAGAGAACTGGAATTCGGACACGACGGGACTTTTACTCTGTTCTACACGGCATCAATCCCACGACTGCAAGGCTCGCGAGGAGGATCCTCGACTGGCTGATGGACTCGGGGAAGCTGCCGATGTACAGCTTAGCCAGGAGGCTCAAGCTGGAAGCGGCGGCCTGAAGCACCCCCGTCCGGAGGCCAGGAGGCTTCCTCTCTTTGTATACGCAGACTCACCAGAACGCATCGTTCTTTGATTGTTGGTAATGGGTTTTTTCACCCGGCCCGGGAAGGCACGGTTTTCCTGTACACTAAATAGCAGAGGGTCCGGCACGCCCTAGGGCATAGCGGAGTATGAATAATAATTTTTTTTTCTTAAAAATTCTCTTTTGACTCTTTCTCATTTTTCTGTTGTTTTTCTTTTATTATTTTTTTCTAGTTTTAATTTCTTGCTTCCCTTTCGATTTCAGCCTTCTTTTCTTTTGCCAGCGGGTACTCGGTACCTCCCTACCTATATACACCAAGGAGGCATGAACAGACCCCAGGCAGCACCAGGCATGATTGAGGATCGGCTATGCTCAGATAGGTAATGAGCAACATGCACGTGATTTCAGCTCAGCCCAAAACGAAATACGACAGAAGCGGCTGAGCCTCGAGGGGTTAGGTACCAAGCTGGAGCTGAAACCTAGGCATATATGATCCATACCCCTCGGCCCCTAGGCTTAAGCCCGAACCGCCCTTGCGCCGTGCGACCGAGCTAGACGAGTCGGCTATAGCACATTAGATTGTAACTTGGAACCATGGATCCCCTGTTTATTGCAGCCCATGCAGCTGCTCTCCGGGTCTCTTGTGACGAGGTAACCACCTTACCACCGCCCTCTTTGCTTCCCAGGTCCAGGGATTTTGCCATGACCCGTCGAGGTAACGCCTCGTAACCGGCTAACTTACGACGTCGTACAGACCATCGGTTTTACCTCGGTGGTCCTGAGCGCTGGGACACCGGACCAGGACTCGGTTCTATCTGGTCTTGGATATGACCTTCAATTTGTCGGTCCCGTGGTGAGTCAGATGCAACAAACCTGGGCCTCTAGTGGCTCTTGTTTGATGGTGCACCCGGCCGCAGGATTTGGCATGTGGCCTAGTGTACAGAAGAACCTCGAGAGCGCCAGGGCCAGCTTTCAAGCCATCAAAACACAGCTTGAGCCAGTGCTAGGCAGCGTTGGAAAAAGTAGCGGATTCCTGGGGCGCAACAAAGCGGCTTGGAAACTGGGAATGCGGATCAGAACGCTGGCCGTCTACCGAGAGCGCCTCCGAGCACATCATCTGGCATTCAAAGTCGGTCTCAGTATGATGCGGATGTAAGTTCTTTTTGTATCTTTTCCCTCTCATTTTCTTGACTCATCCGTGCGGAGTCCAACGGATGCGTGCGGGCTAACCTTGTGTGTTATTCTACAGAAGTATCAGCTCTCTCCAGAACCAAACCGCACGGGACAGGCAAATGTCTCTTGCTGCACTCGATACCGATATCCGAGATACTACGGTCGCTAAGGACGCCTTGAGAAATGAGTCCTTTGTTGGTACAGACGAGGAAAACGAGAGAAAACAGCTGGAACTTACGTTGGAGGGCCTCATAACAACGGCGAGCTCCTTTTCTTCCTTTATAACCTCTTCTCCATTGTCTCCGCAGCAACAGTCAGGTGTGCATGGCGGCGCGTCTCCCCAGCCGCAATATCAAGGCAGTCAGTGGCAGCAACCCCAAACTCAACCACCGCAAGCGTACTACGGGGGCCCGAACAAGCAACCCCACCCCGGACCCCAACAGCAGTACATAGGGGGTTACCAGCCGTACTTAGCGGCGCAGCAAGCGTATTCCGGGAGCGCCTCGGCTCCGCAGCACGCACAACAGGCGTCGTACTGGAGTGGACAACATCAGCCACAACAGCATACCGGAGGCTACCAGCCGCAGCCACCGGTACAACAACTACATATACCTCCGGCACACGCACATGTGGGGGGTCAACAACATTACCAGCAACAACAGCCGTATCCCACACCACACCCCGCCCCAGCGGCGGAATACGTCCTTTCTCATTCTGCGCTGCCTTCTCCGCCCCTTATTTCCCCGGTGCCGCTGCCGCCACCAACATCTTTTATTCAAGAAGATGATGGCCATGGCTCTGTTCCGCCTCCTAGCTATCAACAAGCCGTGGGAGCCGGCGAGGAGGAGTCCGATAGCGAGGACAGCGGACCCAACCCTACCCCTTTCAACATAGCGGCCCGGGAAGGCGACTTTGCAGCGATCAGGCGGCTTATCGCTAATGGAGAGGACATGTTTGCGACAGGCGAGATTGGGCAGAGTCCGGCCTACTCGGCGGCGTGCACCGGACATGCTGAGATCCTGGAGTATCTCATCCAGAATGGAGCCGATTACAAGACACCCAACGAAGACGGCTGGACTCCACTCAACGCGGCGGCTACCTGGGGCTGGCCAGAAACACTCCTCATTTTGCTCCGGTATGGCGCTGATCCGACTAGCCCGTCGGTAGGCGGACAGAGCCCCATTTACTCGGGCTGCTAAGCAAGGGCATCTCAACACCGTCCAGGTGCTTATCGAGCACGGTGTAAACAAGAACGACCAGACCTCGATGGACAAATGGACTCCGCTCTGCATAGCAGCCTCTAAAGGCCACGCCGCATATTGTACAGTATCTAGTGAGGCGAGGCGCAGATTTAACGCTCGCCACCAAGTACGGGGTGACGCCCCTCCGTTCGGCATGTTCACAAGGCTTTGTGAACGTGGCAAGAATTCTGCTGCAAAACGGAGCAAATGTCAATACCGTATGCGAAGACGGTTTCACACCCATTTACAGTGCAGCCTCCAGTGGCAACATGGAAATGGCAAGACTCCTCCTCGAGTATAGGGCAGACTTCCACCGGGCTTCCAACAACGGCTGGACACCAGTCAATGCGGCGTGCGTTGACGGCCACCTCGAGATGGTGGAACTTCTCCTCTCCCTAAGAGCAGACATCCGAGTGCCAACCTCTACCGGCAGGACACCGCTCGAGGTGGCAGCCCACAACAACCGCGCAGATGTGGTACGGACACTCCTCAAACATGGAGCGGACATGACCGTCCGTGACGAAGACGGCGAGACCCCCCTATACTCCGCCGCCAACAACGGCAGCCTCGAAGCCGTCGAGGTCCTCCTCCAGCACCGCGCCGACCCAAACACCCCCAACAAAAACAACTGGACCCCCCTCGCCGCGGCCTCCTTCAAAGGCCACCTCGCCATCGCCAGCCTCCTCCTCGCCCACCACGCCAACCCCCACACCCCCACCACCGCAGGCCGCACCCCCCTCGAAGCCGCCGCCCGCGAAGGCCACCTCGCAATCGCCCGCCTCCTGCTCACCCACAACGCCAACCCCAACCGGCCCACCAACTCAGGTGAAACCCCCCTCTACGCCGCCGCTACCAACGGGCACACCCCCATCGTAACCCTCCTCCTCAACCACAACCAACCCCCGCACGGCTCCACCAACCCCAACACCCCCAACACCCACAAATGGACCGCCCTCCACGCCGCCGCCCACAACGGCCACCTCGCCACCGTGCAAACCCTCCTCACCCACCCGACCATCACCGTCGCCACGCGCAACGCCGACGGCCTCTGCCCTCTGCACTCGGCCTCCCGGCACGGGCACGTGGAGATCGTGCGGGCGCTCCTGCGGCGCGGTGCGGCGCTCGATACGCGCCAGCGCCGACGGCTGGACTGGCGCTGACCGCCGGCGGCGGGGAACGGG